TGAACTATTTTTCCTCTTCAGTCCTCTCCTAGAAGCTTTCCATTATAATCTTCCCATTATAAGATTCTTAACCATATTTCTAATATTGGAGAGACTGAATCAATTCATGGATCATTACACTTCATTTGTACATTAATTTTTTTATCAAAATTAAACATTGCTCTAAATCTTAATCTCAAGACAAACTCCCAATTTTATATTCTACCCTACAACATAAATGTTATTCAAATGCTAAACTCTCTATAATAATGCTTGAGATTTCAATAGCTCCAAGTTTAATTTGTTATAGACAGATGAGCTTGTATATTTCTTTTGTCCCAACTATCATGCTTGCATTGGTAGGAGGACAGTTCATGCATAGACGTTTGAGGCTAGTCATGTCTACATAGAGTGACCTCATTATTTATTAGGCAATTAATAAGCATACCATGATTTGTTTCTAGAATTTGTTTCTAGAAAGAACTCCTGGGGCTTACTTCATTGACTGTATTTTGTCTTACCATGCACTTTGAAGACCAAATATTTGATAATCATTCGTGACTTCTTTCCATCAAATAGCTCTAGCAAATTCAGCATCAAAGAATATCTATTCACCACTCATAGTAATGTAATTGGTCCTGTACGCTGCTAAGACATAATTCCTTCCTAACAGTTTTCTTGCTTCTAATTTTATTCCATTTTGAATGAATAGACTTTTGCAGATGTAATGAATATCTCAAATCAAGATTTTTTTTTAAGAATCAGAAATTACTTGGCAAGGTTATCTAAAGATGTAAGCACTTAAGATGAAGGAGAATCTCCCCATTGATAGAGATTTGAATCTGAAGGGTTATTTTGTGCATTACATTTGAAAATGTTAAAAGGCACACAACCAAATAATTAAGGAGGGTTATATCAAAAAAGGGCATCTTGTAATGAAAAAAAAAAAAAAGAAACAATGTTTTTGACCTTGTTATACAGAGAATGAGGAAATAAACTATTTTATGTAGAAGCTGTGACATAGTAATTTGGGCTGCTAAATATAATTTTTTCTAATAATACATTTTCTATTTTTCTTTCTTTTTTTGAAAATTGTGTTTTTATAAAACATATTCTGATTATGGTTCCTCTTTCTCAGTTCCTGTGAGTTCCTCCCTATCCTTCCTCTCATCCAGATCCACTCCCTTTCTGTCTCTCCTTAGCTGGCTCTTTGACCACCACCACTCTCTGAAGAGCAGCCTTGCCAGGACACAGAGGAGGACATTGTAGCCAGTCCTGATGAGACCTGATAAGCTAGGGTCTGATGGAAGGGGAGGTGGACCTCCCCTATCAGTGGACTTGGAGAGGGGCATGGGAGGAGATGAGTGAGGGAGGCTGGGATTGGAAGGAAGGGGGGGAGTTATAGCTGGAATCCAAAGTGAATAAAATGTAATTAATGTAAAAAATAAAAATTTAATTAAAAAATAATAATAGGATAAGATAAAACAAAACCAAATGAATCAGATATCCATAGGTATGTGGATTTATATGTGGGTCTTTAATTTTATTCCATTGATCAACACATTTTTTTTTGTATCAATACATTGCTGTTTTTACAGATTCGTAGTACCACTTGAAATCAGGGATAGTGATATGTCCCATAGTTCTTTGATTGTTCAAGATTGGTTTAACTATCTTGGGTTTTTGTTCTGTTTTTTTTTTTGGGGGGGGGGTTGTTTGTTTGCTTGTGTGTGTGTGTATCTTTGTTTCCAGAGAAACTGAGAATTTTTTGTTTCAAGACACCTGAAGAATTGTGTTAGAATTTTGATGAGAATTGTGTTGAATCTGTAAATTGCATTTGGCAGGATGACAATTTTTACTATATTAATATTGCAGATTCATGAGTATAGGAGATCATTCTTCTGATATAGTCTTCAGTTTCTCTTTTCAGTGTGTTAAAGTTTTTATCATATAAGTCTTTTATTTGCTTAGTTAGTTACCCTCTGCCCCCACCCCTGATTTTTATGTAATTTCAGGACATTATGAAAGGTATTGTTTCCCTGATTTCATTTTCAGTTCATTTGTCATTTGTACATAGCAGGGATTGTTGATTTTGAGAGATAATTTTGTATATAGCTACATTGCTAAAACTACTTAGCAGCTATGGGGGTTTCCAGGTAGAATTTATAGGGTCATTTATATCATCATATAAATGACCATCATATCATCAGCAAATAAAGATACCTTGATTTCTGCCTTTCCAATCTGTAGTACCTTGATCTTCTTCAGTTGTCTTATTGCTCTAGTTATGACTTCAAGTACTATATTGAAAAGGTATGGAAAGAGTGGGCAGCCTTGTCTTCTTCCTGGTTTTAAAGTGTTATGCTCAGATTGTAAGACCCCCAAGACCATCAGGAACATGAAACTGATGCAAACACAAGAGAATCTTTTTATTACAAGCTGGAGCAATCATCTGGCTGTTAACCACAAAGGGGAACATCTTGCCGAAAGGAACATTTTGACCCTGGGTACACCTTATGTTTTCTTAACCAACACCGTCTTTATTGGTCTGCCTCAGTTTCTATGTCTAGTTGCAACTGCTAAGAACATTCTGTGTTTTTTTTTTTTTTTTGTTGTTGTTGTTGTTGTTTTGTTTTGTTTGTTTTTTTCCTCAGCACTCAAGGGTTGGAACCAAGCTACTCTATGGGTAAGCTAGCTTCTGATGGAGACTGAAAAACAAACTGGAGTTAATTCTGCTAATTTAACCCTTTCAAGTGTAATTCCTTGAATTCCTCTCTATTTAAATTGAGGTTGGCTATGGGCTTGGTGTAAACTCTATTATGTTTAAATATGTCTTTTGTGTTCCTAATTTCTCCTGGACTTTTGTCATGAATAGGTATTGGATTTGTCAAGGCAGTTTTCTCCATCTAATAAAATGATCATGAGTTTTTTATCTTTTAGTTTGTTTTCATGCTGGATTGTGTATGTTGAACAATTCCCATATTTGTGGAATGAAGCCTACTTCATCATTGTGAATGACCATTTTGATGTGTTCTTAGATTCTGTTAGCAAGTATTTTATATGGAATTTTTGCATCTATGTTCATCAGGGAAATTGGTCTGCAATTCTTTCTTTCTTGTGTCTTTTTCTGCTTTAGGTATCAAGATAAATGTAGCTCCATAAGAAGAATTTTTTTTAATTACTTTATTTTTCATTCACTTTACTTCCTGGTTGTAGCCCAAACCCTATGCCCCTCCCAGTCCCTCCCTTCTTTTCTCCCCCCCTCTACCCTTACCTATATATCAGAAAATGGGAGCTCCTTTCCCAGACACTCCAGCTTATCAAGTTGCATGAGACTGAGGCTATCTTCTCCTGTGGCCTGGCAAAGTAGACCCCCATGCTGAAGTGATCTAAAGCTATCAAGTGAGACTCTGTCCAATGCAGTCCCCACTTCCTTTACTAGAGAACCCACATGAAGACTAAGCTGCCCACCTGCTACATCTTTGTAGGAGGCTAGGTCTTGTGGAATTATTTGATACTAAATGATGCTAAACCTTTCATTGAAAATCTGGTAGAATTCTATACTAAAACTATCTTTAAAACTATCAAAAGTGCCCTGCACTTTTGTTTCTTTATTTTGTTTTTTGTTTGTTTGTTTATTTGTAGACTTTTAATTACGGCTTCTTTGTCACATGGGCTTACAAGTCTGTTTAAATAGTTAGCTCATATTCGTTTAATTTTTGTAGGTGGTGTGTATTGAGAAAATTGTGTTTCTTTTAGATTTTCCAATTTGGTGAATTATAAATTTTTAAAGTATGGTCTTATGATTCTTTAGATGTCTTCCTTGTCTGTTCTTGTATCTAACCCCCCTTTCATTTCTACTTTTTTTTAAATTTCAGTCTTCTCTTTTTGATTTTTAGCTAATTAAGAATTAAATGGGGAGATCCAAGATGGCATCTACTTAAATGGGGATAAAATCAGGATGTAAAGTGAATAAAGTATAAAAAAAATTTAAGTAAATAAATAAATATCTGTCAAAAAAGAATGAAAGGGTTTTAATCCTATTGACTTGTTTTTAAAGAACCAACTCTTTGTTTCATCGATTATTTACACTCTTTCTGTTTGTTTCTATTTTATTGATTTAAGCCCCAAGTTTGATTACACTTGCCTTGTACTACTTTTGAGTATGCTTTTTTTTTTTTTCTTTTTTGTTATAGACCTTTCAGTTATTCTCTTAAGTCACTTGTATGAAATCTCTCCAAGATTTTTTGTTTGTTTTTTTGGGGGTGTGTGTGTGTGTGTGTGTGTGTGTGTGTGTGTGTGTGTGTGTGTGTTATGCAGGTACTTGTCAGGTCGAGTTGGTTCTTAACATCAGTGAGCTCCAGCATTTCCCTATTTAGTTTTTGTTTGGATTCCCTCTCCTTTGGTGAGAGCAGGGTACGGAAGTTCCCACTCTTAGTGTGTGGGGGAAGGCATGTGATGCAAGACGTAGTAGTGCTTATTTTATGAACTCGGTTGCTCGAGCTCTTGGTCCATAGATGGTAAGGACGGCTGTATCCTCTTTGTGGATGGTTCTATTCATGAGTGTGTAGTGTTCTTCTCTATCTCATCTGAGTAATTTTGGCCTGAATTCTATTTTGTAGGATATTTAGTTGACTACACTGGCCTGCTTCTTATGACCTTTTGCTTGAAATACTTCTTTTCCTCCTTTTACTCTGAGATGATGATGTTTATTTTTGGAGTTGAAGTATGTTTCTTGGTTGCTGCAACAGGATGAGTCCTGTTTTCAAATCCTTTCTTTTAGTTTATGTTTTTTTTTTCTTAATTGGGGGATTAAAACCAGTGATATTGAGAGTTTTCAATGAACTTTGTTTGTTGAATCTTATTATTATATTGTAGTGGTGTGTATTTGTGTGTTTTCCTCTTCTGATATGCTGGTTTGGAATTATTTATTCTTTGTTTTCTTGGGCATGATTAACTTCTTCTGGCTGAAATTTTTCTAGTTTCATCAACGGAACTTAATTTTGTTGACAGATAGTACTAAAAATATGGAATACTTCACAAATTTGCCTGTTAGGCTCTCACAGCAGCCATGTTAATCTTCTCTATAGCATTCCAATTTTAGTATGTGTGCTGCCAAATGAAGAACTCAGTTTTAAATTTAAAGGCATTATGGGCTGTCAAGGTGAGGATGTTTTCTTGATGCAGTGTTGATGAAGGTACTTAAAGAGCCATGTATATTCCCAGGAGAAATCTATCTGGCCCAAATCAAGACATGTCTTGGCATTTATGCTTAGACAACTTGGTAATTTAAATAAGTAGAGAAACAGAGAATAAAACATCTGTAAAATGACCATTTTGTGAATAACTTGGAAGCAGAAAACCATAGCCTTAGACATTTATATGGCAAGCCAAAGAAGGAAGTAGTGACAATATCTTTTATCTCAATGGCAATTTAATAAAATATTAGTCACATAGTGTCCGTAATGTAATTATGTCATTTGACTTTCACCTTAATGTTTTTCTTTTTATATAATTAGAACTATTATTCTCAAGTAAACATTTACATATTGGACAACTTGAGTGTATCTTGACAACTGAAGTCCAAGATTCTTAGAAGTACTTTAGTTCCCTTTTCATTAGCTTAATAATCTTAGTGTTTGGCTGAAGCATTTTGTGTCTCCAATAAGTACAAAGATCTCATTTCATGAGTATGGAGATCTTAAATGAGTTGTTGAGCTTCTCAGACTAAATATGGCAATCTCATAAAAGAAGCCAAACACGTGTATGAGAATGGTTCCTATTATTAGATAAAACAAATTGAAATATGTGGCAAATACAATTTCCTGCAACATGTCCACAGAGGAAACTACTTACAGTCTTATGAAATACTCTTCTGCAGTGATTTATTCTGGTTTATTCTCTATCAATATTTTGGTTTCCATTTATAAATGTAGTTAAAAAGTCCAGTGCATCTGCTGTCTGATGTCTGGCATACTAAAGGTATGCTTGACTAATGACTACTTGCATAACTTCTTGTTTTACAATATCCTTCCTAATCCTAAATCACTCTGAAAGCCACTAATAGGTTCTGATGTGTCATGTCACTCAGCATAAAGCTCCTCATGTATTTTTGATATCGTTCAGACTCTGGCAAGATAACTCCTAACATAAAATTGTTTCTGTGAACTTTTCAGGAAAAAGAGATCTATAACAATAATTTTTATAAGAAATACTTTAACCTATGTTGATTTCTGATAGAAAACACTAATCCTTAATCTCAATAAACATTACCATTCAGTACAGACTGCTTAATACCACTCCTTGGAAATCAATTCTAATTATTTTAAATCTTTGAATTCTCCAACCTTTTATTTCATGAAGATATTTATTTTTAATTAGACTTAAATGAATAAGGATGCTATATTTTTCATGTGGTTACTTATGCTCTCCCTTTCTAGTAAATTAAATACTTCCTGAAGAAGATATATGCTTTGGTAATTTATTTTTATCAGTCTGAAATGTCTAATATTATGATCAGCACATACTGGACGTTGAACACTGGGTAAAATAACCTTTACCGGTAGTCAACTATGTAAAACACATCTATGAAGTTAGAAAAAACAATGTTTCAGTAGAATTTTCAACATGATGAAAATGAAACCCCATAATATGTATTTGAGGCTTTTTACTATTCTTAAAGGAGCCAATGACTTTTATGATTATAAAGTATTTCAAATATTTTCAGTGAATATGACATATATATATCTTTTATTAGTTTTTATTACATTAAATTGAAAGAAAAATATTCAGATTATTTTCTGTTCATCTATTCTTATGCAGTTAAATCAGATCTTCATAAATATTTGACCTATGTGATTTGTGAAAACTCTATATTGCAATCTTATACTTAAAATTACTCTAAGTAAGGACTCCCTATGTTTACAGAGGTATGAATAAGACTAAGATGTTTGAAAAGTCCACATGGCAGCCTACTATTTAAAGCTGTACATGTATAAACACACACACGCAAACATTTATTTTGAATCAGACTTACCTATATAGATGGGAGAATGGATAATGCTCATACATAAGCCATGGAGAAACAAACAAAAATTTCATTTTAGATGCTGGTCAAGGGGAATTAAAGAGACACCTAAACAATGCAGACTATCCATAGTTCTCTTGGTTGTCTACTTAAATTTCATCTTAAAACATTGCTGAAGAAGTTATAAATATTAGTCACAAGACATGTAGAAATTGAGGTGGCAGTGTCTTGGAAGTAGCCTTCCTGATGGTTAGCTTGCATAGTACCTCGGAACTGCTGAAGACGAAAAAACATTAACAGTCACCCCCCAAAAAAAACCCCGAACTACAATAATGTCTTGCCTATCGGTGAAGTGGTGACATAAATGTTCCGGAGGTAACCGATAACTTTAACTTGGAATTATTAAGAATACTACATCAAAGTGAACTCAAACCTAGAACAGTAATGGTGGTCAGAAACCCAAGGTAAGGGTGGTCATTGGTTTGCCTACTAAACTTTACTAAAGAGACAATATCAAACTGCCTTCTAAATACTTATCAACATCAACTTAGATTCTGCCCAAAGTTTGGTTATGAGCCTCAGCATCTGCTTTGACATACTGGTGAGTAGTCTTTCAGAGGCCCTCTGTGGTAGGTTCTTGTCCTGTTTCCTGTTTTTTCCCTCATCCAATGTCTGTCCCGTTTGCCTTTCTGAGTGAGGGTTGATCATCATCTTACCCAGGGTCTTCCTTTTTCCTTAGCTTCTCTAGGCGTACAGATTTCAGTACGCTTATCCTATATTATATGTCTAATATCCACTTATAGGGGGAGATAGAAAGACCTGGAAGGGACAGGAGTTCCACAAGGAGAGCAACAGAACCAAAATATCTGGACACAGGGTTCTTTTCTGAGACTGATACTTCAACCAAGGACCATTCATGGATATAACCTAGAACCCCTGCTCAGATATAGACCAAGGCAGCTTACTATCCAACTGGTTACCCTAGTAAGAGGAACACGAACTATCTCTGACATGAACTCAGTGGCTGGCTCTTTGATCACCTTACTCTAAGTGGGGAGCAACTTTACCAGGCCACAGAGGAAAACAATGCAGTCAGTCCTGATGAGACCTAATAGGCTAGGGTCAGATGGAAGGGGAAGAGGACCTTCCCTATCAGTGGACTTGGAGAGGGGCATGGGAGGAGATGAGAGACAGAGAGTGGAATTGGGAGGGAATGAGGATGGGGCTACAGCTGGACACAAAGTGAATAAACTGTAACTAATATAAAAAATGAAAATAAAAATTAAAAAAATCAGCTTGGGAGGGAAGGGTTTATTTGTTTCCCTGTAATATGACCATGGAGGACTGCTGCTCACTGACTTTCTCCACATGGCCTGCTTGCAGAGATTTCTTATATAACATAGAAATACCAGCCCAGGCTTGCCTATTGCCCCATTTCATGAAATCATTTTTTTTTAATTTTTCTTCTACCTTTCAATGATTTTATTGTTTTAACAGTGAAAATATACTACAATTTAAGATGATTTGGGGACAAAACGTTCCCCTGAAAAACACTATAACCTTTTTTGTTTCTTCTTTCTCTTCTTCAATTCTTATTATTATTATTTACAATTTCTTTGCTATTCCAGTTGTATCCCCCTTCCTCATCTTCTCCAGTTCCCATCTTCCATTTCTTAATCGAGATTCCCTCCTCTACAATGCCTCCAGTTATTGTCAAGATGGTGTAAATAAAGCCTGCACATGCAAAGATTGTTTTTGTCATGAGCATTGGTTCTGTGGAAGGACCAACATAGCAACAATTCTCATCAATACTAAACTAATTCACAGACCATAGGAATGGTTTATAGAGCATAACATCTCCATTGGCAGTTGATGTTAAAAAGGAAAAATAGTATTTGCAGAAGTACAAAGCAAGGATCACTTAGGAATTTCCTGTGGGACAGTCATAAGCATTTTAGTACATGCTTAAATTACTAGATATTCTCAATTTTAGTAAGTCAGGACTCAAAACAATGTAAACATGAGAATAACACAGTTCAACTGATCTCTACATAGGCATATATCACTGATTCTCATCTTTCTTGGCTTTTCATTCCATGATTATCCTGAAAGGAACACAAAATACATTTTTTTGAAACTCCACCTAAAACTACTTAAAACCTCATTTGGATTCTGAACATAAAAACAGTCATGATGTGGGTATGGTCTGAGTGTTTCTACCAAGGCCTCACTCAATGCTTAGAACTTAATGCTCCTTGGGAAATATTAAGAGGGCAGAGACAATCGAGTAGTGTTCAGAGAAGGAAATATGGGAAGGGTTTAGAGCAATCATTATGGATGCTCCATAATTGAGTAAAAGGGGGAGAAAAAGAGGAAAGAACCAGTAGGCAAAAGGAACATACCTGAATGTATACAAACACACAACACACAAATACACACACACACACGTACATGAACTCCCAATCTCTCTACCCATTATGTTTTGTACCACCTCAGGACTTTGCAAAAATGAAGGTTATCACCAAATGCAAACACAACAATGTTACACATTTAGCACCATAAGCAAAAAGAAACCACTTCTAAACATAAGTAACCTGAGGTACTGTGTTTTAGCAATAGAAAAAAAAATGCAGTTATACTGGTGATTCCTGTAATTTTATTGTCATTGAGAAGGCTGTATAAACATAGGTTTTTGTTTGAGGAATTAAAAAAATCCTTGATCAAATAACTCAGCTTTAAATACTTAAAATAGTGTAGATCTTGAAATTCATTAATATTTTTAATATCAAGTATTAATTACTTGATATCAATTAAAATCAAGTATTTTAATTACTAATTATGTGCATATATCTTACTCAGCAAGTCACCTCTCTGTAGTGTTTTCTATTAATGAACATTCAAAAGTTGATAATTCCATTGTTATTATTAATAATTAACTGTGAATTCAGTGAATCTAACACATAACTTAAACATATCTAATGTATAGACTTGATATAATTTATCTTTTATTATTTTATTTCTTTTTAATACTTATTTCTATCTCCCCTGATAAATGGATATTAGACATATAATATAGGATAAACATACTGAAATCTGTACGC